AGCTCTGTATGGATTTTTAGTATATTCTCAGTGGGAGATAATACAGCATGTTTATGTGCTGGTGTGAATGATTCAGTGGAGGGGGAACAGTGGATACAGAAAAACCAGGAGTTATTGAAAGAATGAAACCCTTGGGAAGGTAAAAGTGGATGAAATACAGAACACAAGTGCTACTTAAAATGAACTTAAAGGAGAGCACGTCCACCATTAAAAACAAAGGGAAGACTGGTGTATGTGATTCTATGTATTTGGTTATATGAAAATGAGGGAAGGTTTCAAGTCTTTTCTATTTTCAAAGAAGGTGAAGTAAGTCCAGAGTGAAGGGGTGAAAGCTCAATTTCTTTAATTGAATTATGACACATAGTAGGAACTGATCCACAATTTGATGAATAAATGATATAAGCCATTCATTTGTTCAATGTAAATTTATTGGGCAGTTATTACGTACCAGACACTATTCTGGATAAGAAATAGAGGGCAGTAAAAAGACTAACAAACTTTCTATTCTCATAGAGCTTATATTCTAGTGGGAAAGAAGGGGAGATGGAGAAGGGGTGGAGATGAGATTAACAAATGATGTTAAGAGAGAAATGTTATGAAGAAAATTAAAGCAGTGAAATAGGGGTTACTATTTTAGACAAGAGTGGCCATAGCCTTTATGAGGTAATGATGTGCAAGCATAGGATTGAATGGAATGAAATAGTGAGAGGTTTGAACATCTGAAGAAGAGGTAACAGCAAGTGCAAAGGCCCTGAGTTGGGGACATGCTTTTTCTTTTCTTCCTTTCTCTCTCTCTCTCTCTCTCTCTTTCTTCTTTTTGAGGGACAGCATAGAAATTAGTATGGCAGGAAAAGAGGGAGTCAGAGTGGTGAGAAGTGAAGTCAAGGAAGAGGTCAGACTGATTTCATACAGTGCCTTGTGGGCCACAGTAAATGATAAGTTTGAAATTATAAAAGTGCCAGGAAGTCATTGTGAACTTGATAATTGGGTAGTGCCATTTACAGATTATGGTTAGGACACTGGATTCTTAAATACAAAAGAAAACATTGGGAGTTGAGAGAAGTGAATTGATATGGCATAGTTTATGTTTCCAAAGGCTCACTGTGGTTGCTGTGTGAAAAAATAGATTGATTGTAGTAGAAGCAGCGAGAAGGCTATTGAAATAATCCAGAAGAGAAGTGGTTGCTTGTCTGGGATGATCTAAGTAGTGAAAAGTGCTTGGACTCTACGATAGATTTGGGGAGTAGAGTCAATAGTATTTACTCCTGGATTTTTTTGTGGATGTGAAAACAAACAGATTAAGGATGATTCCAAGGATTTCTCCTGGAGCAGCTGGAGAGATGGAGGTTTACTGAGAAGGGTAAGACTGCTTAGTGAACAGATGGTTGTATAAGGCTTTGGTGGTGCAGTGTAGACAAAAATCTAAATGGACTGGACTTCAGCCTAGCTTTTTATATTATGAAGACATTGCAGGACAGCTGACATGCTGGTCAGGATAGTAAAGATAATATTATTGTCCCTGCTGTGAAAATGTAAACTTTACCTGATTCCCCATCTTGCAGAAAAGGAAAAGAAATTATATCAGGACCACAGCTGCAAACCAGGTGTCAGGAGGTATGTTCATTGCTTCAGTAAATATACCTACCACATCTGGAACTAAAGTTGTAGTTGTTATCAACACCTGATTAAATCTGTGATGATTTACAGTAATTTATATACAAGATTTTTTTTTTTTTTTTGCTGGAAAACGGTTCCTTGCCTCACTAGATCCACTGTTAGGAGGTCTCAAGCTAAGATTTTTCCTATCACCTGATTTTCATTATTCCTTAATTGGATTGATAGATTTTGGTGGCACCCACAGAGGGTGTTGGTGGATCAGGATAAGTTGAAAGCAAGTATCTGATAACCTCCAGGAAGTCTTAGTATTTCTCCTTCCTCATACCTTTGGAAAGTTTTGGGGGAAATTCACTATGTAAATCTGTGCCTCATGGCAGGATTCTTTCTCAGTTGGGCCTGGCTTGGCCTTTCTGTCAGGTGAGAGATTTTGGATGCAGACTTGCCTAGGTCTGAGAGTTAGGCAAAAAAATGTCAATCTCCATTATAGCTGGTTAGATTTATGCCCAGAAGACCTAGAAGCTTCTCACCTGTGTAAGTCAAGGAATGCCCATCTATCTCATCTCTGAGTACTTGTGGTCATTTAGTTATGGCCATAGATCCTTGCAAATTAAGATTTGGTTATTATCATTCTATCCCTGTGGTTTATTGATGTAATTGTGCTTACAGGTCTTTGCTGGAATTTACCACATCTGTATCCAACTGTTCCCATTGGGATAATTGAACCAAATCAATTTTCTCATCCTTCTTCTTTATCATTTTTTTTTCAATTCTAAGGTCAGCACTGATTTTCAAGAATACTGTGATCCCTCAATTATGTGCATTTTCTGTTTTTTTTTCCTCCCAGAGGTTAAGACTTGACTAAGAATGTTCCATATTGCAGATCAATTTCCATTTTTCTTTGAACCTTAGAGCTTACTCCTGTTTAGAAGTGCTTCTCAAAGTGCATCAATGTGTGTTACCTGGGAACTTATTAGGTATGAAAATTCTAGAATTCCACACTAGGTCTACTGAATTAGAGACTTTGGGAGTGAGTCCCAGGAATTTGTGTTTTAACAAGACTTTCAGGTGATTGATGGTAATGTTTGAGCGAATTCTCTTAGAATATGCCAGGGTAGGCTATCCAAGGCTACACTAGCTAGGGCCAGTAGCACCCACCCAAGGCCACCTCCTGAATCTGGGGAGTGTGTAAATCAGGTCCAGTACAGTGCATGAGCAGTGTGACAGAGGAGTCATTGAAAGATATTTATGCAGGAGGGGAGTGAGTCTCACAAATGGGGGATCTGACAGTCCCTCAGTGTTTATTCTGTCAAAGGAAGGTAAGTGAGATTTGGAGATTCAAAATTCTCACCTTCATTCATGTCTGCTCAGATGTTCACATCTTTTATTTCAGTTTCCTATTCTTTCCCTAGCTTCATTACTTTGGTGCATAGTTTTGAGAGTTTGGGCATTTAATAAGTATTGCAACTGTTCTTTTGATCTGAAAAAAAGTCAGGACCACACAATGTTTATAACCATTATTGTTGTCCTAGTGACTAAGGGATAGCTTACCTGATCTCCTGGTACCTTACCTTTCAGCTGAATATCCTTCCCTCTTAGCAATGGTGATGACTTGAGAGGTGGATTAACTATCCCCTATTTTACCCTGGCAAGAAGGTTATCCTAGAATCCTTTATGTGTGGGTGTGTTTCCTGAGTCCCGCTGTGATACCAATCACTCTATCAGTAATTACAAAGATACAGGTCCCCAGTAGTAAATGGCATTCTCAGCTAAGGATAATTCTGAGAAGGGCCGATAAAGGGGAAATTTACAAAGATGCAGGGTATAGGGAACCACAAATGAGAATGCAGTTTCTGGGGCTAGAGATAGTCAAGTCACTCTACCCCTAAGTTTGAAAGAACAAAAAGGTGATTACTAGATCCTGGAAGAGTTATATAGAAACGGCTTCCTTGAAAGAAGTAGTTATCTTTGATCAAAGGTCATAGTCAATTTGAGGTGACCCTTCACGAAGGAGCCTGTGGAATAGATACCTTGATTTCATTTTCCTCTTTCTGAGGTTCCTAATTGGACACACTGAATGAGAACACAGATAGCAAGGGACCTTGGGAATACGGTCTGTACACATTAGTCTCCCATGACAGTGAGAAGGATAGAATTGATGTTGGGGTGCAAACAAAACCTCTCACACAGAAATCCTTTCTAAGGTGACATTTGAACAGAAACATGAATTGAGAAGAATCCAGATAGTCAGAAGGGCTAAAAAGGACAATGGCCTTGAAGCTTGCTCTCAGTGATATGGCTGAAGAATAGGGCGTGAAGGAGGGTGCAGTGGTATCAGAGATCTCTGCTGGGACTTCATCATGTGTGACATTGCAGGACATGGTGAAGGACTTGGTTGGTGTTCCAGGTACCTGGGGAAGATCTTGGAGGAATAACATGATCTCACATACTTTTAAAAACAACATGCTAAATGTCATGTAGAAGATGGATTAGGCAAGAGAAGAAGCAGGGGAGCAAGGAGTTATTGTACCCTGAACAGAAGAGATGACAATGTCTTACACTAGAATGTGAAGAGGAGGGGAGAGAATTGGAAAGGACAGAAAACGGATTTTTCTTACTTTTGTTCTCCCAGTTTCAGCACTAGGTCTTTTTCAGAGTGTAGACTTAGTAAATGCCTGTGAAATGATGGGATTAAAAATGTTGTTTTTTTTTTTTCTCAATAGAATGTTTCTCCTATCTCCGTGGCTAGGGCAGTACCAGTACAGACATACGATAAATGTTACTTGACCTTGAAGCATTGGAAAGCATACTATGCATTATATAATTTGATAGCTTACTGGAGAAGGGTGAAGTCTGGCATTCCCCTTCTCACCTCATGTTTATGCCTTAATAGCAAGAAAACAAACTGGTTGAAAAATGGCCAAAGAACCTGAATATACATTTCTCAAAAGAAGACATGCAAATGGCCAATAGATACGTGAAAAAAAAATATATCAGGGAAATGTAAATTAAAACCACAATGAGATATTACCTTATTCCTGTTAGAATGGTTATTATTATTCCTTGTAATTCCTCTGGTGGAGGATGAGGTAGTGGTGTAAATTAAGCCTGAAAGGAGCACTGACCACATTATTTTCAATACTCTAGTGAGACTACTTCTTTAACAATAGTCTTTTGCTTTTATAAACTTGAGAGAAATTCTTCATTCTTTGTTGCAATTTTAATGAATTAAAAATCAGACTTGTTTGTTGTATAAAATTAGCATGTAATTTTATTTTGATAATAGAAAAATAATAATAATTTGTGGCTGAGTTGATTTGTTAATCAGAAATTTGTTAATAATTATGTTTCTGTAATTTAAAAAAAATTATTCTTTTTAAAACTAGATCATTATCTCATGGAATACTTCCTGGAGAAAGGAAATGTTTTCTCAAAGTTCCATTATATGAACGTCAAGTACGGTGTCCCAGCTTACCTTTGAAGTTAGATTTTGATAAATTTGTGGAAAGTAGGGGAGGAATACCAAGGAATACTAATCCTCGGATGTGGGCTGCTGAAATATTCATTAAAGATAAGATTCCGAAAGTACCCCCACCAGTAGTGAAAACTTCTGTTGTAAAGGAGATTTCTGAAAAAGTTGAAGAACCACCAAAACTAGAATTAAGTGATTTTTTGGGGTGTGATCTTCCACCAGAAGTCATTGAGCATTATAAATCTGAAGTGAAAACCTTGACTCAACAAATAAATAATAAGATACTTCCTGAAGTTGCATATTGCAGGCGTGGAGCTATTTATAGGCACCTGGGAAAGTTACAGAGTGCCATGAATGATTTACAGGAAGTAAGTTTTTTTAAAATAAAAAGAACAATACTTACCACTTGCATTGCTTTTGATGATATGGTAATTTTTGCTGGAATTTTCAATAATGGATAATTATATAGTATGTGGGATTGTGAAAATGCAATTACTGGCATTTCCAAATAATTAGCATTAAAACACCAGATTTTTGTTTGTCAGATTGGAATGCTTTATTTTACATTATATGCACACAAAGCAACTGGGATTGATAGTGCTTGAAAACTTTATTCGATAGGATATCTGCCTTTAGCAAATAATCAACTTCAGTTAAATTTATGCATATGTTTTCTAGGCTATAATTTTGGAGCCAATGCTTCTCAATGCCTACTGGCACCGACATTTCATTTATCTTTTCCAAGACAGAATTAATGATGCTTTGGATGACTTGAATTATATAAGTAAATATAATAAAAATAATGCAGGTGGGTTGTTAGCTATGTTACCTATATCATTATCTCAGCTTTTGTCATTTATTGTTATTATAAGATACATAAACCAATAGATATACATTTTGCAAAAATGGATGTAATTTTCCTCAATTATTTTTACTCTTAATATTCAAATAATCCTGTATTGTTTTCAAAATGCTCTTCATGGTTTGAAATAGTCATTTCCTTAATATACCTTGATTCCTTACTGCTTATATCACAAGAAGTTTTAGAAGTGATCCACAAACCTTCCAAAAATCTGGTTCATAGTCATAGTATTACTAGGACTTCTTGGTTGGATTGATCTGTATGTGTGCCCTATGTACTCTCTTCTAACCCTCTCAAACCACCAGACATGGAACAGCCTAGAAATGAGAAAGATGTCATACTCTTCTTTGTACCCCAGCACCCAAACATAACTCAAGGTTCAATATGCTTAACAATTGTTTAATGGCCTATGTTAATCTCTGCTAAAAACCCATTTAAAATTTTGTGCTGTCAAGACCTAGCTTTTTACTATGAGCACTGAAAAAGTATGAAACATTTTAGACATGAAAAAGGTAAAAGGTAATTTGGCAATGTTATCACTTTCAAATTGAGAGTACTTTTAACCACAAATGAATATTTATCCAGCTTTTGAGAGCAATTGGCTTTGTTGAAATTTTTAAAAATTAAATGATTTAAAAAATATAATAGAGAAAATTATTTTAAAAACCACATTTTTGCTGGGTATGGCGGCACATGACTTTAATCCCAGTGGCTCAGGAGGCTGAAGCAGGAGGATCATAAGTTTTAGGCCTGCCTCAGAACCTTAGTGAGATCCTGTTTCAAAATAAAAAGGGCTTGGGATGTAGCTCAGTGGTCAACCCCCACACCCCCCCTTCTATTTCCAGTACCACTAAAAAAAAAAAGTGTGTGTGTGTGTGTATGTGTACATATATATAATTATTTTTTAAAATCACATATTTAGAGAGAGAGAATAATGTTTTCAAATTTTATTCTTAAAGAATTGTAACACTAAATTTGACCTTTTTCTCTTCTTTAGAGGCATATTTGTCAAAGGCAGAAATTTTCAAGAACAAAGAAAACACTGCTTCGGCAATTCTAAATTATACCCTGGCAATTAAGTGCAGGCCCACAGAAGCTGATAGCTATTTCAGGAGGGGTGAGATGCATGAAAAAGCAAACAGAGTACTGGCTATTGATGACTATTCTAAAGTAAGCTTTATTACATATAATGCTGCCATTTATATATTTTAGATCATGATATTCTTGTGCTCATGGTATAGCAAGGTTTTGAAAGTCTTTCATATATTTTATATCATCAAAATTAATTTATTACAGGTTAGGAGCTAGAGCTTTCATTCTTGGTATTGATGTTAACCCTACTTCAATGATTTTTCAAAAAAATATTGGTTAATGGATTTCCCCTCTTGAACTTGAAACAGCAGGTAAAGAAGTTGCTCTTTCCTTCAGATGATAGAGAAAACCATATTCTATTTTTTATAGCTTCTTCTCTTTTGTAGGGAGAATCTACCTGCTCTCAAAGAAGCTATAGTCACTGTTTTATTCATTCATTCATTAACTCACAAATACTTATTGACTAAGGCACCATAATGTAGTGAATAAAAGTTGGTGAATAAAATAGACATTTTCTGCTTATACAGAGTTTATAGTTTCAAGGACATATATTAAGGATAGATTTAAACACATACATGAATACATAATAACAAATTATGATGGATGCTGATGGAAATGAGGACAGTAGGAGAATATTTCCATTTGGTTGAGGATGTTGAATCATGCTTTGAAGCTACAGAGGCAAGGTAAAGTATTCTCCTAACTACAGAAAAATATGTAACTCTGATCTTCTGACTTTTAATTTCAAATTCCTAGTCCTTAGTTCAATTGAGAATTTAGAAGAAATAATTTAAGTAATTTAACTTTCCATATTCCCACTATGATGGTTTAGTCACTTCCCTGGCACTCTTCTGCTTCAGGAGCATAAGTTTTGTAACTTCTGGTTTAGAAGTGACCAAAAATTCTTTTGAAGATATTGAATTATTAGATTATTTTAAATTAATTTTTTACTTATATATGACAGCAAAATACATTACAATTCATATTATGCATACAGAGCACAAAGTTTTCATATCTCTGGTTGTA